TTCAGTGGGGAGCTTGTAGTTTGGGATGCGGTTTCTCCTTACGGTGCCCGAAGAAAGGATCCCCTGCTTTGCAAGGGGATCCTTTGGTGAAGTGCAATAATTGTCAAAATAAAGCTTGTGGTTAGCGTTCCTTGGAATCTGCCTGCTGAGCCTCACGACGTTTCCAGTAGAACCGAGGTCTGGCTCCGCTGGTCTCCCTTTTGACGGACTGTTTTCCTGACCGGTGTAGATTTACACGTCATAAGCGTATCCGGACACGCTACTGAGCACAAACAGCTTGTATCCCCACTTATGGGGTTTGTTGGGCATGTACTGCTTCAAGAAATCTCGGGCTTAAGTGCTGCACATTTGTTCGTCGAGTGAGAGAAATTCTTCCATCGGAACAGAAAGAAATCTTCCTCTCAAGGCTTCAAAAACTGGCCAGATTTTGAAAAGCCTGCCTCGTGTTTTTTTACACGGGTTCATTTTTTCGTTGTTGCAGATGTGTAAGAACCGCCTTATTTTTTCAAAGGTGTGTTCACTGACATTATAGAAGATATTGTCTTGTTTCCGAGCTCTGAGTCTCAGTAGTCTCGAACACTCGACAGGTGCACCAGGTACATGTAGATGCAGATTCCCAGGAACTTTCTGACATCGCTTGGCGTCACCTCAGTTGGCTTTCCAGCGTCGACTTACACGCTGTAGAGTAAGGACTGTTCGGAGATAAATGCTATCAGCTGGTCCGTAAAAAAATATCGAAAAAACTGGCACAGTGTTTCCAGCTTCAATATCTCCGGAGGCAAAGCTGAGTTTCCTCGGAAAATTGTGCACGTTGTGGGGACAGAGAGCGCTTTTTTCTTCCACTGAAATGGTTCTCCACTTCCGGCACTAGAGCTTTCAGTGACATGAGACACCTGGGGCTTCTTCGCCGCTGCTGGCGGAATCTTCGTCCTCTTCAAGCTCGAAATCTGAGTCATCGCTTGCTTCGCTCCCCTCGGGAAAAAGAATATCTTGGATTTCTTCATCCGAGAGGTCATTCGTCATATCTGCACTACGTAGCAAAAACAACAGTTATAGCGCGTGTTTAAAAAATAAAACAAACGAACGACCGCGATAGCGCGGGGGCCCTTCGAAGGGACCGCACCAGTTCATTTCTGAATATGTCATGCTGTAATTTACCAGAACGGTGCAGGTAGATGCGTCGTCTAACTACACATCTGTGACATATCACAGCGCAATCTGTTGAGAAAGCGACACATACGGCTCCTTCAATGTGCCCACGATAATATAGGCAAAAATGGGTATTTTCGTTGCCTCGCAAAATATTTTCATATTCCAGAGTGTTTTCGCTGTCGACAACAATGCGCTGAACAAGTTATTTCTGCGTACATCATCGTTATGAAATAAAACGGGCCATGCCGGGCAGTGAAGCAAAAGTACAAAACACATTTCCTAAATGCATAACGTATCATATCTGGCACAAGCTAGTTTCTCCTACCAAAAACTTTGCTGACGACAAAACCGGAAATAAACATCTGTCCAGTGAAAAGTAAAAGTGAAGCTTCTCAAATATATTAATTTTTTTTAGTTGCCAAGCTTACCGAATGCAGCGCCGAGACGCTCTCGTTGTTGACGACTTCCCGTGCAAATTGCGCGAACGCTGAACTGGAGCATCGCCAGAACAACAGACCAGTGGCGGCACCTAGGAGAACCTAACTGCACTAGATGGCCCGCGGTCTCTATCAGATCTGATCCACCATGCATTTGTGTCATGTCCAACAATAGATCCGGTGACGTGAACGTATTTTTGGTTTGTATCATATGTGATACACCATGCACTGTAGGCCTCATTTTCCCGCTAAATTTAGCGAGGAAGCTGAATTAGTAAATAGGTCACGTGACGTAAACTATTTCGCAAAATTTAGCGGGAAACAAAAATTCTGCTGTAGGACACGTGACGTGGCGTCACGTGGCTTCTATTTTCCTCAGGATTTAGCGGGGAACTGATTTGTCGGATAGGTCACATAACATTAATCTTCCCGCTAAATCTAACGAAGAAACTGTATCTTAGCATAGGTCACGTAACATTAATCTTCCCGCCAAATCGACCGAAGAAACTGTATTGGAGCATAGGTCACGTGATGTGAATTTTTCCTGCTGAATTTAGCGGAGAAACGTGCTGCGCATAATGAAGCCAGAAAGGTCCACTATATAGGGAAGGGGGGGGGGGGGCAGGGTATCTGAAAATGTTATCGCATTAACTCTTAAGCAGAAGATCGAGCTGTAAGAGGCGCTTTATCGAGCCTGGTATTAGCAGCGATGTGTTTTGGTGGCGCCCTCCTATGATTCTCTCTCGTGACGTCATTACCTGGCGAAGAACAAGTTCGATGGCGTTTCTAATTAGCATGGTGGAAGTTTGAAATCATTGCGCTCTGAAACCAACACTGTCAACACCGTCAAAATTAAAGTTCTTCCATTTCTCTTATTTCTGTCGATGAGAAATCCTTTGCTGACGTTATGGTCAGCATTCAGTCAATCATGAAAGCCCGACAACAGCGACCACTAACACAGCCTAAGAAATACATTCAACCTTGCCTAGCACGGTCTGGGCTCGCGTGCTTCCCCTAGAAGAGTGCTCTTGTCGCACTATTAAAGAGGCCTTCGAATCATCTTCGAATTCGCTGATCAAAAACAAACAACAAAATTTGGTTTGTTGTCCCCACACCTGAAGCGTACCGCTGGGGCGTGAGTGTTCGATCTCCTTCAAAATAAGAAATTCCGCCTCCGTTTTTTTGGATTGCCTTCATGCTTGGATGGAGAAAAAGTAGGGTTATTTTTTAACACACGCTTCTAACGTTTCACCAGCGTCGCATTGATGTCACACTTCAAGCCTGTTGTTAGCGCGAGGTTAAGCGTGAAAATGTTTAGAGTGTTTACGCAAGAAGCGCAATTATTTTTTTGCGCCAAGATAATGTTATTGTCTGGCAATTTAGGGACCCAAAAGCCCAAACAGGCAAGGAACCAAATTTGATATTTTGTTGAGCAAAGCATGGGCATTTTTACCCTAAATTGGCAAACATGTGCCAGTTTTAGGCATCCCTGCCTGCAGTTTGTCACTGCTTAATTTTTTTTTTTTTTGGTGGAAAGGGGGGGGGGGCTTTGTTGCCGAGCAAATGTAAGATTTAGGCTTTAATTTTGCTTGTTTGGTCTCTACTTTTCATCTCTGGGCCTATATTTCTATACAAATGCCAGAATTGTGTTTTAGTGGTGGTCCTTCGGTTTATACGCGGCAATTTCCTATTGGAAAAACCAGCATAAAAATCAAGGTGGCCAAGCTGGTAACTAAGATGGTCAATCTGGTCAATGTGGTAGTCAAACTGGGTTAACTGGCAATCAAGCTGGTTTAAGGTGGGCAAGCTAGAATTTAAGCTGGTCAGTCTGGTTTAAATAAAAACCAGCATGGTCTCACTAGAAGCTGGTTTTAGATTCAATCCGGTGTAGCTGGCAGCTAGTCTGGCCCTAAATGGTCAAACTGGTTTTCCATGGAGCCAATGTGGCCAAGCTGGAAGACAAGCTGGTCGTGCTGGGAGGAAAGCTGGTGAATCTGGTCGAAGTAATAATCGTGGTGGTCAAGCTGGTCATGCTGGGAGCGCATACGCCAAGGTCGTCTAGAGATAGCCGAACTGGCATTGCTGGGAGCGCGCGCGCCAAAGTCGGCTTAGGCTGGAACGAGGCCACGTCCTGTTCTTCGTCCTCTCGTTTTTGGTAGACGACCGGGCGCGTCAGGCGCGCTGCAAGCTACGTTTGTGTGCGAGAAAAGAGAGAGAGAGAGAGGGAGTTGTAGGAACGGAGAATTTTAGACGCGTTTGGCTATCTTGGGCAGATTTTCGTAGGGACGGCTGTGTGCGCGTTTGGAGACTGCTTCAACGTCGGTGCAAGCGAAGCGGGTTTTGAGGAGACAAGTGGCGGTCCGTTCAGTGCGGGAAGATGTCGGACGTCCCGACTGAGGCGTCGCTTCTTGTCTTAGAACGTGAGTGTGCTCGTGAATGACGGTAATGCCGAGGAGTATCGCCAATGCCATCCAAGCCACACGGATTCCCTCGCGTCTGCCAACCACGCAACTTGCCGCTTAGCCCCCATCACTGCCGGGACTCACGTTCGCTTCTCTCATCCGTGTGGTGTTTTTTTTTTTGTTTTTTTTTTTTTTGCTATTGCCTGCTATTGGCGTGTGTATAGTATATTTCGTGTTGAAAGATAAGCATGCAATCTAGTTTTATTAACATTGTTGGCTTTGCACCGAGAACCACTGTCTGTGGGTCGGTTAGTATACTGTCTCAGCACCGAGGATATGTAACATCTGAGTTCATGTGAGGCGGCCGCAAGTACGAAAATAATAAATTGGACGCCCAGTCGGCTTTTCTGAAGAGCTTGGCTTGTTTATCCTGTGTATTAATTTAAACAGGTTAAACTGATTGGGAAGTCCACCAGCATGACCAACTTAAACAGCATGACCAGCATGCCAAACTGGGCATGCTGGGGCCATAACCCAGCTTGAAGCTGGGACCAGGTCAACCATCATGACCAGTATAACCAGATCAACCACCACGACCAGTATGACCAGATCAACCAGCATGCCAAGCTGGGTATGCTGCGGCAATAACCCAGCTTGAAGCTGGGACCAGCTTAAGCTGCTTTTTCATTAGGGATTTGACTCATTCCCGGCACTTTGGAAACTATGTGGCAGACGAAATTAAAACCAAAGAAAAATAAAAGTAAATTACGTTGGCACTAACTCTTGCTTCGGCACAAAACACGATAAGGCCCAACTTAAGCCCCAGGGATTGCCAAACTTCGTGCTTCCTGAATCGCAACTGGCTGACGGCATTGAGTTGACATATCGCTTCCGTTTTTCTGCAGTGCCCTCTACTACATCAACATTCTGGACACGGTGCTGACTCTCATCGTTCCGTTCGTGCTGATCACGGTAATGAACGCCATGATCGCCAGGGCCGTGTACCTCTTCTACGCTCGGTACAAGCACCGAGCGGCCATGGCGATCGACGGAGAACCCTTGAAGACGGAGAACCCCTCAGGTAGTGTGCATTCATGTTTTCACCAGTTCTTCGCGTTTTCTTTTTTACAGCGAATATGCTATGTGCTCGGATCTGGAAAAACATGCGCCCATGAATGTTAACAGAACAACGCCCGTCTAAACGGCGCTCCTTCGTTCCGATTGGTCGCGGCCAAGGAGGTTATATTTAAGACTTCTGGAGTGCGGTGGCGCTGCGGAGCTGACGCCAAAAACGGCGACCGCCGTCATCTTACTAAAGGTAGAAAGCGGATCGGTTTTCTACCTTTTTTAGCGGCTTTTGGGTCTTCTAAAACAAATAAAAATATTCAGTTTTTTTTTTTTTTGTTTTTTTTTTTTAATACGCTTTCTAAAAGCAACGGTGCACTGCTACTGCCGTTTGAGCGCCGTTTCGTTTCACCTTTAAGGCATGACCACTTTGGCATTGCGGAGGCCTGCGGCGCGCTGGTCAACGCTGCCGTTTGCCGACCCAAACCAGTTTTCGGCGTCAACGGCGCGGCGTACGGCGCCGCAGAGTCAACCGGTCGGTGCGCGGTTCAGAGCTGGGCGCCGCACGCCGCAGAAGAGAGGAGCCAATGGGAGGTGGCGTAGATAGTGACGTCGCGATACCATGCAACGCTCAAACCGGTCCTAGGCGCGTCTTTCACGTTCCGAAGGACGTGTTTCGTGTCGTCTGCTCTCCCTATTTCCCCCCGATGCCTTTCCCAACGGAGCGGTTCCTTGAAACTGTGCGAGACTACCCAGATAAGGACACCAATAACAACCGCAGGGAAATTTTAGGAGAGGAATTCGGAATTACAAATGAGTTTCTCCGTGGCACTTGTTGCATTTCGTCTGTGTTGTGACGAATGTCGTGTTGATTTGGTGACATTTTCGAAAGTAGCCTTCATCTCTGGCGCCCCGCCGGATCAGCAAAGCCCCGGCGGCGCGCCAGACCTGTCCTGTCATTCGGTGTTTTGGTAGAACCAACTCGGCCGGGCCCAAAAACTGCGCCTCCTTCCCTTGAGAGCGCGGCGACGTCGCGAGATCAACGAGCAGGCTAGGATAATCACATTCACGCTGATCACCAGGTCATTATGGACTCCTACCATGTAGGCAGCGAGTGCGGAACGGAAGAATGTAACGAAGAGCAGACGACGAAAGAGCGGGAAATCCGACGGGAGGCGCGATCGCGGGATCCAGTGCTGTCACGTGATGCCTGCAAAACGGAGGCCAATGTGGACTCCTCGCGTTGGGACGCCGGACGGCGGTGCCGCCCGGCGGCGCCGCCCGGTGGCGCCGTTCACGCTAGTGTGGTCAGGCCTTTAGTAAGATGGCCGCCGACCGGAAAAACTGGCTTCACCCGGTCGCATGGGAGACTGCGGGAGACCGCCACTCCAGAAGACTTAACATAACCTCCTTGGTCGTGGCAGGTGTAGATAAAAAGAGGGGGCAACACGCGTGAATAGACCTTCCTTGGCTATGTTACATAGGGAGGTCCTGATCCATTGTTTTCACCTACGTTCACCGACTTTCCCAACAAAGAGTGCGCTGCGACGAGGCTCAGGGCAGAACGCACCGCTCTAACCTTTTTTTTTTTTCATTCGCTTCCGCGATGCTGTTAAAGAGACTTGGGCTCAATCGGAAGTAAGACAACTAAACAACGAAGTCGTGTACGTTTCTTCATTGCAGTCATATGTAAATCGTATAGATGTCGTACAGTTGTAGTGAAGCGGATGGGCGCTACCATAATGTTTGAACTTTTATGCTGTGAAAGTAGGTTATAACCTACTTTCACAGCTGTCTTTAGACCGCCGGACGCTGCCAACATCGGATTCGCTGGAGGGTGATGGGAAGGAAACCCGCCGCCTCAGCTTTTTTTTTTTCTTTTTTGAAGTCTCTAGGCGCTCTTGATTTCGCTAGAGTCGTAAACAGTTATGCCAACTATTTTCCGGTGTTTACTTATTACAGCCGTGCGACGATATTGGGTAGGAATGTTTCTTACTTTACAGCAGCTTATACTGGGTCTATACTTGACCTCAAGAACCGTAGTAAAACGACCGGTCGCTCGCAGAGCGCTACTAATTTCCCTCTTTATGTTGCAGAGCTTTAAGATATATGTAGCTGCCTTTTGGATTAGGCGTATGTTATGTCATCTTACCAAGAGGTACACCTTTCAAACGCCGAAAGTATCGTTTCTTTCTCCGACAATCAAATCATGTAAAAACTACTTCGCGCAATGTGCAAAGAATGCGCAAAACTTCCTCTTTTCTTGAGGGGAAGAGGAGTATAGTATAGGACCCGAGTAATTTTAACGCTAAAAGCGGACGTTTTCCATTAGTGTCTCCTTCGCTAAACTCAATGACGAAGTTGTGGGGACGGCAGATTTGGCGTTGCCACCAATGCCATCGCCAGAATTTCGTCAACAAGCTTTGCGATATCTGCGGTGACGATATTTAAATACGGCTCATATATTGGACGCGAGAACTGCGTGAGCATTCAATTTCGGTGAGCGACAAACAATAGCCAGACGTGCATTCTGGTATCGGCTCGCTCCTAATCACAACGATGACAGGGATAGCCGAGGCTTAACAATGTCTGGAACTCAAGAAGAGTCCCGTGTTTCGCCAACCGCAACGCGTGTCTGTGATACACATTGGCGACATATTTCCGCGTACATGACCGAGAAGGAACACCTCTCCGTATGTCTAGAAGATACGAGATTACTCTTACCCCGAATGCAAAAGATGAGGAGGAGAACATGACCTTGCCGAGTCAGTCTCGCCCTAGGTCACTCTCGAGCATTCTAGGTCAAATACTGTAACTACTGAGGGAAGCAGATAGGAACCCATCATCTTGACGAATCTCTCTGCCAACGACGAAGGACTCTGTATCGCAATGTCGCTCCAACCAGCTGTCACGCCGATGCCTCGACGTTCGTTGCTGCCACCGTCGATGCTCATTGTTTCTTTTGTGTTCGGCACAAGTTGGCCGAGTAAACCTTTATTTTCGGGTTACGCTCGTCGAATATTTTCAACCACGACATTTACTGGGAGCCCTGCGAAGACCAGCAAGACAAGTCCCATTATAAGTACAGGCGTTCCAAGTTCTTTCGTTGAGGAACACGAATCTCGGGCCAAGCGCTCTGTACAAGACCAAACCCGGGAATTCGGACGTTTGCCGAAAAAGCGCCCTAAAAAAAGCAAAAACAAATTATATAAGCACCCACCCCTGCAGAAAGAACCCAGCTAGCCCACCCGTCGTCGTCCTGTGCGTCGCACACCATACTCTGACCCGCTAGACGCAGCAGTGCGAGTGAGTTGCCCGTCACAATGGGTGAACTCCGGAGCAATGCCTGGAGAATTTCTACTTCTCTCTCGAGAAAACGGCACGTATCTAGGACAAAATTTCCGAGGCGGCGATCCCCACCTGAGAAGCATGCAAGAATGAGCGTCGAAACAGCAGGAGCGAACGTCGCGGCGTCGGCGTGACAGTTGGATGAAGCGAGCGTGCGACAGAGAGTGTGTGCCTCGTCGCCGATAGAGTGAGCTGGCTAGGTCATGTTGTCCTCCTTGTTTTTTACACTCGGGGAAAAAGTAAGCGCGAATCTTATAGAAGTAGGGAGCAGCATTCCTTATCTGTCCTGCTCCCGGCATTACATTCCGCTTGAGATCACGTGACCGAAAGTTCTGGCTGTAAGTTGAGGAAAAAACAGTGCTCTTTTTCATGGATTGTTTTCTTGCAGCTGCCATTGCTAATTAGGTTGATGTGTTTCGTTGTGGATGCGTTCTTCTTAAAAATCGGTGCATTTTGGTGATGTTACGGACAGACGAGAAAACGGTGATTATCGGGAAAGAAAGCTCGTGACAATTTAGGAGTTCCAATCTGACAAGGTTTTGACAAAAACGGTTCTAGCTAGAACAACAAGTTTCTGAAATCGGCATTTGGCTGTTTAAACCAATTTCGCATTTTTGACAGCAAGGGTCCCTTGTGTTTTTCGGTTTCAATAATTTTTTTGTTTGTTTTTGACAGCCACAAGGGTTTTTCGGCATTTTTTGGTTAAAACCGGAAGGGTGTACGGCCTATGATGGGTGTGCTATTTCAGTCAAAATATGAAGATGAATAGGCAATACTTATTGAATGGGATAAATGGTATGAAGCTGCTATAAGACGAAACCATTGGCAGCGCTGGCGAAGATTTTGTCTTTGGACGACTTCGTTAGATTTTCTTCAGTCCGTGCTTTTCATTTATCTGCATCTTTTGACTTCTTTTTCCTTTGAGAAACCACATTAGATGATAAAAAAATTAGCCGTGCTCAATTATTTATTATCAAGACTAAGGTAGTTTAAATATTTCTGCGAGTCCATGGTGTGGGGACCGCGTATACCGCCTTTTATTGCAAAATCATCAACTGTCCTATGAGCGAGCTGACGTCATCTGTTTGAAGCTCGGAAACGGCACCTAGTTTGTGGGATAGCCTTCGGTTCCATTGGCTGGCGTGCGTCAAGAGGGCTCCCATTGGCCGCTGCGATCGTTAGTTTCTACGACAGCTCACCTCATGGCGCTGCGTGTCCATCAGCGCACCGTTAACACGGAGCGTCCAAGGTCACCAGGGGAGCACACGCGCTGACCGGTGACGAAAAGTATTTTATTCTGAAATTTCACAGGTCAGTTTAAGATATAAAAGCGTTTTTTTTCCAAAGATCTTCTCCATTTGTGTTTCGTTTCATACTTTTGAATTGTGTAAAATTTTAGAATTAAGAAATGAAGGGCATCTAAATAATTACTGGAGAGGGGCTGCCTATTCAATCATTCCTACACCGAAATTCGACGAACAGGAAAAACAAGGTAAAGTGGTTGTTGTTTTTCTCGCACACATATGGGGGCGGGTTTGGGGGGGGGGGGGGGGGGGGTTCTGTGCTGTCAGTTATGTATAATAAAACAAAGGATTACGATCAAATATTTGCTGGAGTGCGGGATTCCTATTCCGCTATTTTCACTCGAATGTTTAATTGGCCGAATAA